GACAACTGGGCACAAGAGACTCTAAGAGAAAAAAATTATCATGAGACATAGACAAACGTATTGATGTCGTCGTCCTTTCGTTCGATAAACCTTAAACAAATCAACTGAATAAAAAACCCTTTCTTAGAAGGTTGAACAAACCGATTATCGATGAGCCAGTCAATCTGTTCCTTAATCAGTTTACGATTTGGAATAAACATTGGTTTCAACATCTCCACCAACTCGGTTTGCAACTGAGCTGATGTGATTGTTTTCCGCATTTTCATAATCTAAAGAAACCTCCCTTATAAAGTCGTTCAAGTTTGTCCTCAAAGGCAAAATTAGAAAATGCGTTTACAGTAGTACTACAACCACTCTGGAGAAGTTCTAGTTAAGATACCTTAACAGCTGCCTCTTGAACGCGAAACTCTCTCAGGGCAACTATATCCTCATGTTCTTTCGAAGCTGATGATTCCATTGAAAGCTGTAGCCGGCCAATCAGGTTGATACGTCCTCTGTGCTGTTCTTTGCCATTCTGCAGGTATGTTACTAGAACTCTAAGACTAAAATTAACTAGTTAAAATGATACCTTAACAAGGTGGAAATCGTGGTTGATAAAGAACAACGTTGAGTCGGTAAAATCTCGTGGATTTATAGGAAAGGGTGCGTCACAGAGTAGAATTTGAGATTTCATCTTCGGATATGCAACTAAGGACTAAAAACCTTTGAAATTAGTTTATAAGGAAGTTGAGTTTTACGTGGCGTTTCTCCCTACAACTCACAAATAGCGTTTTGGCTAATTCCGTGTCAGGAAGTTCAGTCGCTAATCGTAACGATTCGAATGAAATTTTTTCTTGAGCACGGTCATTCCAACAGAACAACACAGCCATTTGAAAAGTAGTAACTTCGAGATCAAATCTGCCACCATTTGACGTACCAAATATGATCTGAAGCTCATAAGATCAAAGAATATTTGCACATGATATTAAATACTAAACTTACCGCTCCGCTGCTCCAGTGATGCATCCAATTCAACTTTCTGCCATTATGCTGCTTCTTATAGAAAGCTTCCACATGAAACATTCAACATTAATTCAATTTCAAGATCTAAAATTAGCCGTGCAGTGAAATTTACCTCTGGAACTAGTTCCTCCAATTCCCTAGGTAGCGACACCCGCACACGTTCAGATCCAACACCTCCTCGTCCCCATGCTCCTCCATTGAGAATTTTGATGTTGATAAGATCTGTAAACTTTTGCTGATAACATATTTCATTTTTTCGCTTCCATTCATCCACTACTGTTTTATTACGTATATAGTTTAATAAAAGCAATAACGAAAAAATCCAAAAATCACAATACCTGATAACGTTTTATTGTTATTCACTCCCACTAGCGACTTCTTGAAGCTAGAGTTGAGGTCTTTGTTGACTTCAATATCTTGCAACATACGGAAAAGTTTGTTTACGTATTCAGCGGGCATACCACACTCCTACAAATAATACCGTAGAAAATAATTTCACAGATGCTCGTCAATCCAGAGAAGAACCAAGGAAATCTCACTCTGAGCTTGTTGACCATAGCCTCTTCTTTTTCTTGATCGGCACTCATATCAAGGATTAAACGTCTTGAAAGATGGGCTTTGTGATATCGCATGAACACATCCTTGTTTGCTATATACTTTAGTACCAACAGCTAAAGTAAGTAGGCGGTAAATCCCGCA